TCATAGTAATTCGACAGCTGAACATTACCTAGGGCCTGTGCAATACCTAGGGCTTGCGCTTAACTGGCGCTGTCAGGGGGGATAAAGTAACGGCTCCATGCGGGCAGTGAAGTAGCTCGACGGGCTAGATAGCGGTTAAGAATCCACCGGCTGCGAACACTGTAGTAGCAAGGCAAAGAACAACAACAGTGCTGGAGCGTCGCTGGCGTTGAGGGCAACGGGGCACATCACCCACAAAAAGATTGTGGCCAGGAGACTTTTGCCTGGGAATAGAACATACTAGGAATTTTCGCTCCAAAGACTTTGACGGCGACTTTTTGCACTGTATCTTTCAAGATCAGTTGCTATGCAATATCACTTGCGTAGCAAGCGGTCTTGAAGGTGAAGTACGGAAAGTCGACAGCGGGATCCGTTGGGAGGTTGCGATAATAAATGAATAAGCTTGCCATAGGCAGACTGTCGGCGTTGGGAACAGATCCTCCTAGCAGTCCATTGATACGGCAGTCGGCGATAACCTCGCTGAACAGCGCAGGCTTAGACCACCTGGCATGAACGACACTGTACCGTCAATCAGTTTGATCCAGATCATCTCATGCGGGAGAACACCGAAATGCAGAGAAATTAGCGGGTAGATTTTTGGCTTCGCCTCGAAGAAATGCGAGCTCCATGCACAGCGTAGAACCGTTTGATATCAGAGCTATTAAAAAGTTGCTTCTTGCTTTGTGTTTTTCTCCCACAGAGGACGTTCTAATTCCCTACTACCTGCATCTACGTGCCAAGCGCATCAAATGATTCTGATACAGGCGCTCCACTGGAGACCGCCAGAACAGCGATTTGGCAACTCCTTCCCCCTCCAGTCATCATGTCTCCGCACTTCCTTCTTCTCAACCTGCATTTAGCTGTGCAGTAAAGCTAGGTATATTGTGAAGCTTGATGGTTGAATAATTTTGGGGTCTCATGATGGTAAAGGGGGGCAGCACACCATATCCTGAATTTTACGCAACTTCTAATATGCGGAGGCAGCATCGGCACTTTGTTTCAGCTTACAATGTCGCCTCCACGTCGCTTTTGCCAGCCCGGTTTGCTTGCTGGTTGTGGGAAAGTGTTTTTTTGAGCTGTTCCAGCAAACGGCGCACCGAACTGTCTGCACCCGTTCGGGGTTTGACAATGGACCAGAAACCCAAGGACTCCAGCCTCGTCGGTGTTCCACAAACTTGAGATTATTAGAAGCGTTAGCAGTGTTTTCGCACTTCGCTACTTGGTGCGCGGCAGTTTAAACAGTTGTAGGCTTTCGTGCCGCTGTGATACATTCAGGAGGCTTGAAACTCTTCCATGATGTTTTGAGCCGATTTACTTCTTCTGTTTCAATCCGTTTTAGGAGGGTAAGTGCTAATCCAGCATATTTTGTTTGTAAGCTCATTTGTAGAAGACCTATAGGGGCCCGATGGCACGCATTGCCTATGTATTCTCAGTTTAATTTCTACCGAGTCAGAAACTGGACTGGAGATACTTCATCGCCTGCCCATTACCATGGGAAACACAGAAAAGAGCGGTCTGCTTCCGCAAGGGAGACAGACGGCACGTGCATTTACGATTAAACCTACTGTGGAGAAAAAGATGCGTTTACTGAGTTCTGCTCGACGACACCAGATAATCCGGCACGCAAATGGATTTAACAAGAGCCTAGCGGATGGCAAATGAAACTCCTTTCGTACCAACGTACAAAGTGCAGCCTACGGCCCATGACTCCGTTGTTGCACGTCTGCAGAATAGTCGCATCGAACTTGGAATCGGCAAACGAGGGTCGGCGAACTTACTCACTTATTCACATGTTAGTGTATGCTTTAAGAAGAAAACACCTCAAAAAATACATTGATGCTTGCTTAAAGAAACAGAGGAAGGAGTCTGAGGCGGAATGGTTTGCTTATGTGCACAGCACAACGCTGCCGACCGGTCTGGCTCGAGACCGCGGGCAGCGCTACCGGCGCGAGCTCCTCGACTACTGAGCACTGCGGGATCGTTGTGGTGGGGACTTTGACCCAATTTGTGCAGCACTTCCGTTCACTTCAGTTTTTCTCTGGAGAATCTGGTTTACTTCGTTTTTTTTCAGTAGTCGAGAATGGCTGGGCTCAAGTTCCTGTCGTTGGCGACTGCGGCCATTTTCTGTCTGGCCAAGGAGGCGCACGGAGACGACAGCTCCGTCAAATACAGCGCTAGTACGTCCCTCCCAACCCATTTTGTATTGCGGAAAGCTGAGTTGAAGGGGAAAACACTGACTAACGGGCGTTTACTTCCTTTGGGTGGATGCAGAAAGGGTGGATTGCTTGGCTGCAATGAACGCGGCCCGCAGCACTGCTGGCTTCGTTGAACTCCAACTTGGAGAGGAAGCGGAGAGCCAGCTGCCAATCTATTCAAAGCCGAAAGGTCGCTCGACTGAAGAAACCCTCGATCAAGATTACCTAGGAAGTGTCTGCGAATCCATGAGGGCCGTAAGGCTTAGAATTGAAGCCACTCCGTCGTTATGTTAAATGCGCTCAGATCCTACAATAAAAGGAGGATCCTGCCTTTTCTCCAGAGCCTTAACCTCAAATTTGTGTGGTATGTGCAATGTGAATAGAATGAAGCGACTGTAAAAAAAACTAAAGTTGATGGTACCTACGCCTACGCAGTGCAAGAAGGAACTGATGCTGACTGCCAGGCCGCAGTGGATCACTGGAAAGAAGCCCTCGCCAACTTTGGCGGTCTGCCTCCAGCCTACAGCAGCACCGAATCTCCATACACCAGCGCCCAAAATATATCTTTGATCGCCCTGTTCAATCCTAAGGAGAGTCCCAAGGTGGACTGCGCATACTTCACATGCCCAGAAAAAAAGGCGCAAGCGGAAGCTGGGGA